GTTCGATCGAATCGAAAGGGATGGGAAAGAGAAAGAAAGAAAGAAAGGAAAAAAAAAAAGAATCGAAGCGCTTCTTCTTCCCTCGACTGCATCGACGACGACGAGAGGGAGGGAGGAATTTTAGTCTCTCTCCTCGTCGGGCGAGGGAAACCACCAGAGTGTATCAATCACAGCCGTGTTGGTCCTCCGCCTCTCCCATTTTCCAAGTTTGCTCCGTAACCGGGGGGGTGCCAGCCGCCACGACCGACTTATACGCGCGAAACGAGCGAATTATCAAGCAGCCCAACTTCGACAGTTAAGTCGAGACCAAGAGTCGAGTTAATCCCTCGAGTTAGAGCGATAAATGGGGGAGTCGATCCCCTAACGTTCTAAATTTCATCCGTTTCGCGTAACGTGACGCGTCGACGTGCCACTCGATACGCGAGAATAAATCGGGAATAATCGAGGGTGGAGAATAAGTTCATGCCTCGTAAATGTCGAAATTTTATGTCGGTGTAACACGTTCGATTTTTCGTGTCGAATCGAGTCGGATGACGGGCGAAGAAGGGAACGTGTTTACTCACCTTTCAATACCTTGGTGCAGTCGGTAAGGTTGGGGTAGTTGTCCGGGTAGTTGGGGCTGTAAAATTCCCGTTTCGACTCGTCGCCGACGCTGAATTTGTCGCACACGTCCGGCACGTGCCTCATTTGCCGGCGTATAACGTCGTTCACGTTGTACGGTTTCGTCCTCGTATCGGCGTTCCTCTGATTTTTCCAAGGATTCTTGGATAACTTGGTTTTCTTCGTCGCCACTATCTGCACATATTTCAAAGTTACGTGACAGTTTAGCCGAGACGCGGTTAAACGGGCCGATTTTCTTTCGTTCTTTCTTTTGAATCGCGGACCAAGAAGGCGAGGGTTTAAGATACCAATTTAAATCGCGACAGGATCGAAAATTTACACGATCGATAAGCAATAATCCTCGTCTAATCCTCAGGTGTCAGGTCGTTAATTATATAACGGGGCAACGACGCTTTGGGTAACCGGTATCGTGATAGCGTTAAATTATAGTTATCGACCTGTGTCGCCGAAATTACTGGTCATGCATACGGAAACGTACGTTACTTGATAAAAACCTTGTACTTCCGTCTACTACGTACGAACAAACGAGCTCGAGGGATCGCCGCGTCATCGTATCCATCTCCATCATCCCGCGAACCAGAGGATCGAAGAAGCGAAAAGTTAAGAAACGTGACACCGACTTACGTTGTCGAAATTTCTGGTGAAAACGACGCTCTTGTCGAAGCTCGGTCGTCTCGCCGTCGTTTGGACGAACGTCTCGCTGGCGGACGGATTTATCTTTCGCCCTGTCTCGTCCACGCTGTTCGAAGCCACGGTCGAGTATCGACCATTCGACGTCTTCACCTTCCCCGTGTCGTTCTCCCTCAACGTTGCCAACGTGGTCCCCGCGTTCCCCCGCATTTCTATCCTCTCCTCCCCTTCCTCCCTGTCGAGGCTCGCGATGGTGGCGGTGGCGACGGCGTTTGCCTTTGTCAACCCCTGCGTCCCCGTTTCCCGGGAATTGGAGGTGTCCGCGTGGCTGGAAGTAGTCGTCCGGTCAAACTTTTCCATGGATTTCGTTTCCCCTGTTGTGCGTTCCTCCGTGGTGGAGGACCATGCAAAGGTCGTTCGGCCTCCCTTCCTCGCCTCGTGCGTGTCCCACAGTGACTCCTCCTCGCGTGTGGCTTCCGCGGCCGCCCCAGTCACTGAAACATTAACGACCAAACCTTGTTACCTGGATCCCGTATATTTATTTCACATATTTTCTTCTAACGAATATCCGCCTCGAATATCGATCGAGGGTAATCTCATGGGGGGCAGGCCTCCCGAATTTTTTCGTACGTACGAGAAATTTACGCTCTCTTCTCGACCTGCCTGGGTTAACTACCCGGGGTAGTGGGGTGCCTCGACGTCCGCAACGTCGACCTTAATTCTTGGAAAATTACATTCTGCCAAGTTAGGACTTCTCGCGCATGAGAAGACGCAGAGGGAAAAGGGAGGAATGGAGGATGAATGGGGATCGCGAAATAATACGGTTGGAAATTAGTTTCCAAGGGGAGGGGAAGAAAAATGGGAGGGAGAGAAGTTTTGGGAAAATTTCGAACGATCTCTCCTGGAGCGAGAGTTTGAGCTTTTTTTTTATTTTCAAAGTGGCGGCAACGCAGCGCGATCTGGATTTGACATCGGCCGACGCACAAACGAAGTCGAATTCCGCTCGATACGTAACTGGATTTGTCACGGACTTTGCGTGCCCGGTTTTCTCGAAAGGCCACCACCATCGATGGTGGCAACCCTCCCCTCCCCTCGAATTCATTCTCGTCTAGCGAAATTGCGAAATCGTTGAATGGGTCACGTCGAAACGATTCGAGCTTCTCGCGCGACAAAAAGGGGGAGGAAAAAAATAAACCAGTCTCTTTCGTATCGATATTTTAACGCGAAAATTTCAAAGATTTTCGCGCGAGTGTTTTATTTTATTTTATTTTTTTTTTTTTTTTTTTTTCCCCTCGAAATATTCTCCTCGCGTTGAAACGTATTCGCCCCGAAAACATTTTTTGAAAATTAAATTTAAACTATCGAGTGAAACGAGCTATTTTCTGCTCGAAAATAACTCGTAAAAGTTATATAGCTTGATGCGGACTGGATTTTTAATTTTGGGGGATAATGTCGTAATCGCGAGCATCGAGTTGGCGCTCGATGATTCATTTGAGAAAGGGGACGATAAAATATTCGAAAAATGGAACGTTCTAATTTCATTAACCGTACTGGCCATATGTCATCTTCTTTCGCGGCCAGACCATCAATTTGCATCATTTATGGACGCACTCTTTCCCCCACGAAATGCCGTATGAATGAACTCGCATCCCCAAACCGAGCTGCTCGTGGAACTTGCAAATTTGATTAGCAAACATTAGCACACGAGCGAGATAACGGTGAGTGTCTCCGACCGGCCATTTCTTTCTCCACCCCCTTCCCTTTGCATTTCAAGGAGAAAACGTTATAACTCGAACACGGACGTTTTCATACTCGTCCACCATTCGTTTGCTCGACGTTTGTTACTCGTGCTATCGCTTCAATGCGTCCGACGTTCAATTCATTCTTCTGTGTTCATAGTTGAAGGATGAAACACGAAACTCGGAACCGGTATAGAAAAATGAAAATGGAAAAGTTGCTTTTTTTCATATCCCTTTTCCCGATATCCAACCATCGTTCGTCACTTTGTCGTTTCGAACTCGTTATTATCTATGATAATTTATTATATGACAATTTTTAAGCAAATTTGCTCAATTTCTCTGAAAAAGAAGTTAATAATTTTCGAAATTCATTCGTGTATCGTGCAATTTCAAAAGCGAATTACGCACTACTCTCGTAAAGATCTAAGCTTTCTTTCTTTTTCTTTCTTTCTTTTTTTTTTTTTTTTTTTTTTTTTTTTTTTTTATTGAAGTTACCACTCAACTCTGGTTTATGTTGGAAACGCGACGTTTTCCAGGGGATCTCGAGGAGTTCTGGCGCGGTTGAAGCGTTTCCGTGGTTGATTTCCTCGCGCAAAAGCCAGAAGATGTATATCTTGCCACGTTGGCCGCGTAAATCCGATCTTTTCGCTTGCAGTTTACCTTTTTCCCCTCTCCTTTTGCCGCCTCTTCTTCTTCTTCTTTTTTTTTTTTCTTTTCCGTTTAATGTCTCGGCTTTAAAAGCACGTTTCGTCTTCCATCGCTATGCCTCGAGGAAGAACGACTCGGCATTATCCCTCTTCTTCCGCCCGCCTCAGGGTTTTACCACGTTGTTTACGAGCGTGCTTCTTCCTCTCTGCTTTTCATCTCTTTCTCCAACCCGCCGCGATGCTCTCGTGCTCCTTCCTACGTGATCACCGCGTGTTTTTTTTCTCCATCCCCAACCAGGAAATTGTTCCACTGGCGGGTGGATTTCCCGCTAAACGCCAACATTTTCATCTTTTAGTACTTGATCAATCCAGTTCCCACGGATGTGTGAAATAACCGCCTCGTTTTATTGTAGAGGAGTTGGGATTCTAAAATCGCTAATATGGGAATCGCATCGAATGTCGTACGAAGAGTGAGTCTAAAGAAAGAAAAGTGTTTAGAGAATCAGATTTCTAAGACGTGGAAAAAATTTAAAAATAATACATCTTTTAATCAATTTGTTTCGACATTTGTTATTAAGAATTATAATTACAATATGCCTTCTAATTCTTCCTATACTCATATATATTATTGTTACCAATATCGTTCTTGATCCATCAAGTGATAATTCTCTAACATTGTTTCGAGAATTGAATTTATGAAATGTGAAAGATTGGTACGATAACTGTTACGATAAAGAAAATGGCGTATCGAGGGTATTGGAATAAAGAAAATAAAGTGATAATCCTTACACTTACAATTATACAATATTATCTCGTTCCACGATATCGCGTCTCTTAGCTCTGGAGCACAGTTGAATTCATTATTATAGTATTGCTCTACGTGATAATTCGAATGTATAATTCGCCAGGCCGGTTTAACTATTTATATTACCTGCCGCAATGTCAGGCCGCGTACCGGACTCGGTATTACCTTCTATTTATAATTTCCCACGGGATACCGGTTTGCGCAACGATCCGCGCCCGGCCGCGCCGCCTTCTTTTCTTCTTTTGTTAATCGTTTAATTTGCCGCCAATTCATTTTCCCTCCGCTGCAGGCCGCACGTGGTTCCGCCGCCGAACGTTTCGTTCTATTAATTGGCGACGCTCCGGGACTCAATTAACGGAACAACCGCGTGCAACAATTTAACACCGGCCCGTCGAATTATATTTTCCAAAATAAATTTTCCCGTCGTTTACGCGTTCCAGTTTTCTTTCTCGGGAATCCCAATTACAACGATGACATTCGAATTACCTCTTCGACGAATAATGTCGAAGCAGTGGTTGTTTCGAACACGCGCAACAGAGAAAGAGAAGAGTCTTTTCGAAATTAATTTTTAAACGAAATGGGATTTAAATATATATATACGTGTTTCGAATTTTGAAATAATGGAATGAGTTGGAATGATCTTTGTGCGGATTAATCAATGATACAATTGTAAAATGGAGACTTTTTATTAGTATAGATAAATTGGACTAAAACGACTGGTAGAATTTTCTTATGAAAGAAGCGGCTAATAATCCCGATGGTCTAAATTCACCGCGAAATGGATGAAAATTAATTAAATACGCGCCATGTATCGCGCATAACAACGCGTGTCATCAATATTTCAAAATTGCGTGTACCTAATTAAAACCGTATGAAAACACCGTACGAAATATGTCAGCCAAATATTTGCCAAATGCAAATTGTTTCAACATGCGAGTCTATAATTATCGATCCCCCGCGTATTTTTATTTATTCCTTTGATTAACGGCCAATCTTGCGAAAAGATAAACTTTTTTTTTCTTTTTCAATCGCGGTTTAATTTAAACCGCGTCGTTAAGATTTCGATCATCATTGATTTTGTCATCTGCCTCTACGCGCGTGTCGATCAAACGTGTCGTCTCGTTGTTGCAAGGGAAGAAGCAGTTTTATTCGAATAGCGAGAAATTTATTTGTTTGGCCAAGTTGCCGGGTTCCAGCTGCCTTTCCCAACCAATACTCGCGCAACGGTAAGCACTCGATGATATATCGAAAAAGTTTCGCGCCAGAAATCCTTTGGAATATAGGAATCTTTCCACGTCCTCGAGGATTCCCTCCTCGGAGGATATATCGCTTTTAGAAATTCATATCGAGCCAACGTTTCATACTCGATAAGTATTTTACCGATCTTCATCCCTGATCCCCGTGGCCCGATCCGCGTCTGTTAAATTTCGACTCGAGGCACGGTGTATTTCCGTGGACGTGTTGGATGGCGATTAAAACTTGTTGCGCCACTAACGTTGAAACGTTATACAAATTGGAAACTTTGCTAACTCGCTCGAGAAACTAACATAGATTTACATCGCGCTGCAAAGACAAAATTTGCCGACCAACTTTCGACCGATTGTCTAGGATCAGATCCTCGATGAAAATGGTTACTCCATTGAAAAATAATTCGGGGAATGTATCCATTTCTCTGGATATTTCTTACGTCGATTAATTTTTCTCCGTTTAAAGAAAAGAAAATTTTGTAGTTTGAAATATTTTGTAATATTTTCGCTGCCTAATAAAAATTCTTTTGTCAATCGCGCGTTGCGTCGGATATCAAAAAAATACACGGTGTGCGACGAGCACACGTGAAAATTCTATTTTCTTAGCTTCAACGATGGACGCTATGAAATTCTCCCTGTAAAAAAGGGCAACGTTGCAAGAGGGAATTGGTTCGATCGAATCGTACTGTCGAATAGCTATCGATGCAAATATTTGTATTTTTATTAAAAACACGATTATTATGTACGTAACAATTTGATATTGCACGCAATATCAATATCGTAGATGACGGGGATGAAGCATGGTAAAAAAAAAAAAAAAAAAAAAAGAAAAAAATTCGATATTTACAACGAACGATACCTTTTTATACCGGAATAAATTTCGCAAATATCGATTTGTCAACAATCTCGATAGAGATCGATAGAGGATCGAGAATCAACAAAATTCATCAAGAGCAATATTTGCTATATATCCATTCGGTCGTAGAGTCAATCGAGCGGAAACAAAAACTTTGGTTCGTTGTTTACCAATGAATTATAGAGTTTTATTCGTGGTCAGTTGTAAAATACGAGGAACGAAGCGGGGCGCGAAGCCAACTACGAGGGAAAAGGAATCTACAACTCGACCCTTCGTTAAACCCGGGCCAATGCCGTCTGATTTATGTTCCTCGTTGCCTGCAACTTTATGGACCGACCTATCTCCTCCCCTAAATTCATTTTCCTTCGGCCAACCCCTTTCTCCCTCGCTATTAATTATTCATCTCGATTACAGATCCAAACTTGGTACGAAAAATGTTCATGTTCAGAGTAATGGTTCAACCTACAATCTTCAGGGAATCGCTTGTTCGCGAAACATATTTGTTCGCAAAATTGAAAGAGGGATGATGTTAAAAAAGTCGATGAATCATCGATGATATTTCTTAAATCCTCTGCGAGCTACAAATTCGAACGATATCCCTCTTCTTTTCCTCGTCTTTATCCCTTTTCGAGGAAATGTACGTACACGAAATCCTACTTTCGAAACGTTACTTCGAGAATGCGTGCAAGGAAAAATCAATAAACAACGATTGATTCTTCTCGAGGGAGATGGAGGAAATTCTTCTGCATAGAAAGTTTGGCCGTGTCTTCTGAGATTCTTCCACGGTTGTTGTTTCTTCGTAATAGCGCATTCGAAGAAACTTAGTCGAGTAAGACAACCGAAGCCAACTTTTCCATTACCGTTTCGGATGTTGCAAATTAATTCGCGTCGAGATTTGTGGAAACTCGATAACGCCGCGTTTCCAAAAGAAACGTTCAATCGCGGACTTGGTAAAGAATTTTTCGATCGAAAGTTTAACGACGGAAATCCGATTAGCCGGCGCGACTCGACCTCGACAAAAATCCGAGTTGCTCGTCTCAAGTCGAGGCATGTCGGGAACGAAGGGGTGCATTCTTTATACTAAAATGCCGCCACATCCTCCTCCTCCCCCTCCTCCTGTGAAACGCTCGCTTTCCAATTTACGATCGTCTTCTCTCGTTTCTCAGAAACGATGGAAAGAATTCGACGCATCTTCTTCCTTCTTCGATTGTTTTCGAGTTTCCTGACAAGAGAATCCCTGTCATTGACAAGCCACTTGGAGAATAATTTTCAAAAAAGTCACTTGTATTTTTAGCCGAGCAA